AACAGTGCCATGAGGGGAAAATTTCACAGAGTGTGTGCCCGACACACAGGGAAGGTTAACATGTGTCCCGTGCATGAGTGCTTATAGACTGTTAGGAAGGGTGGCTGGCGTGACAGAAAATCAGCAAGTAGTTATCAAAAGCATGACGATGCTGGAAACACTGTTAGAAGTACAAAGACGATTGGCCGTCCCAGCGGACCACAGAATGCAAAACAAACCGTGTGCAGCTGATATCAGAAAAGGCCCCACAAAATGGATCCCAGGCAATTTTTTTGGTGGGTGATTTTTTAATTTTGAACCCAGGATCTTGGCCCTGAGCGACACCCTCGCCCTTCCCTTTTATTTATTTTTTATTTTAAGGTTGGGGATTATGAAGTTGCTAAGTTATCTGGTTGTCTGGGTTCCACCTTGTGATCCTCCTGCCTCAGCTTCCTAGAGTGCTGGAATTCCAGACACACACCACCACGCCTGGCTTTGGAGAGGGATTTTAAAATATTAACTAATGTCCTTCAACTCTTTACCTGCTGAAGGTTTAGGGATTTATTTCAGGGAGGTTTTTAAAAGCTGTGTAAAAATTCATGTTCAAGGACATTCATCTTGCTTTTTCGTTTTTAATATTGGAGAGTAGAACTGACACAGATAATGTACAGCAGGAAGAAAACAGAGATTCTCTGCCTTCCTGAGAGCCAGGCTCCACCATGGGGAGCGGGAAGAGACCTGGCAAGAAGACAAACCCGTCTCCCCCGAGCAGACGTGTGTGGGCTGGGAAACCAGAAGCGTGTCCCCCACCTGCCCCATAAGCATCTGGCAGAGCCGGGGCCTCAGGATGAGGTGACAGGGCCTGAGGGGAAGGGGACAGCTCCATGCTTGTGTTGTTGGTTGACTCTGCAGCCTGGGGCTGGCAGTGTGGGCATCTCCAGGAGGACAGCAGCATGCGATGTGGCGGTGGTGGGGGATTTCCTCCCGTCTTGTTTTTGAAACCTGTGTTTTGTTCTGTCTTAGGGTTTTATCTCACACCTGTATCTTGTAACCCGAGCAACTCTTCTGACGATAACAATGTGCAGGATGACAGCCATTGTTCAAGTCCTGTCCTTTTGTTTTGGAAACCTACATAGCTCTTGGTTTTTATTGTTGTGGTGGCATCGTTTTGCTTTCATTGGTTTTTTTTTAGGTTTGTTTGCTTCTTGATTCTTCTGCTTTTTCTTTTTTATCTTTAAAATGAAATTTAAAGGAAGAAAGCAGAGATTTTCCAGTTGCCATTTTTAGTAATTCATGAGCTCTGGAGCATTTCCTCGGGTTCAGTGTACCCGGATCCCACGGTGTCTATGACTTTGGTCCTGTGTACACTCACCTCAGGAGCAGCCTGGTCCCCTGGTGTCACCCTTCTTCTGCAATGGGGACTGAATGAGTGAAATCACAGCTGAATGAGAGGTGACCCCCGCATCACTGTCCCCAGGACCGGGTCACTGCTGTGTGTAAGCAGAGGGGAGGGTGGAAGTCAGGGCTTGGTTTACACAATTCGGGGTTCACTGCGTTGCTGGGGAGACAGGTGGGCAGGGGGTCTGATGGCCGCCTGGGTGTGGCCATGGGAGGGTGCAGGATGGCTGCCCTGGAGAACACAGAGGACTTGGGCACCACAGCTGATGCCATCTGAGAGGTGAGGCCCAGGGTAAGAGAGGACGTGGCCCTCAGTGGTGCCCGCCTGCCTACTCTGAGCCCCTGACTGCCTACTCTGATACTGTGGTGCCACCCAAGACCCCAACACAGGCTCCACGGCCAGGGGAGAGGCGGGCAGGGCCGGAGCTCAGATGGGCTCTGAGTTTACCCAGAGCCGACTTTTCTTTTCATCCTTTGGAAAAAAAAAGAGGAGGGGCTGGAAATAGATTTAAGCAGTTTTAGAGAAAAATACTTGTATATTTCTGACATATCAGACTATAGACTTGGAAATTTGTAACTGATATATATATATATATATATATATATATATATATATAGGTTTTTTTTTTTTTTTTTGGTCTTTTTCCTTTTTATCGGTACCAGGGATCGAACTCACGACTGCACACTTGCAAGACAGGCGCTTATGCCGCTGAGCTAAATCCCCAGCCCCCTGATCTATTTTTTTATGTGTGTATTTATCTACATTCATATAAATATTTGTGTGTGGTTCTTTAATACTTAAAAAAAAAACAAAAAAGAGAAGAGGAGGAAACTGAAGCTATTAACACTAAATAGATCTTTGTTGTGGCAGTCTAGACACTAGCCTCTTTTCTCTTTCAGAGATTCCACAGTAAGTAGACCAATTTTATTATTATTGATACCTACAGAGATGCCAAAGGCAAAGGGGGAACCAAGGAAAATAACTCCTACCGTGAAGCTTTTACCTCGTAACTCAATCCCCTTCACTCAGGGGAAAAGGTCAGTAACCGAGGGCCAGTGGACCCCGCGCACGGAAAGGAAAGTCACAGGGAGAGGAACACAAGTGGAATCCAAGTGCAGGAAACATTGCTTAATTTTAGGCACAACAGTAGAAATGCACACGACGGCTATGGTGAGATCCTGTCCCAGGCCTGGCAAGGACACCCCCATGGAGACCGAGTGGGGTCCTGCAATGTGACCAGGTTACGGGAGGGCCGGTGGAGTAGCCCCAGAAGCCCACTCGCCCGTCCATTCAAACCACAAACGCAGGCAGCGGCTGCTCCAGCTCTTTGTCCTCCGAGAGCTGACAGCAGGGTGTTTCGAGATCCGCAGGACCTCGGTTAAGTACGCAGTACGGACATCGCAGGAGAACGGACACTGGACGCCACCCAAGGCCTTTCCATGAGGCATGGTATAGACGTGGTTACTGATGCCGTCAAATACCACGAATGGCTGTAGAAGGGTCGCTAGGCCATCTGAGGGGTCAGCGGGGCCAACGGGCCTGGAGCGGGAAGCCTGTTCTTACGCTCAGGTGGCAGTGGATTTGGAGCCATGCGCTGCTCCCGGCTGTATGGCCATCGCCCTGTCACGGCCATGCATGGAGCCCACCCTGCAGCCTGAAGCCGGCAGAGGCTAGATGAGAACGTGGACCCCGGGCCCAGTCAGCCTTTGACCTCGGGCAGGGTAGAGGGCCGGGGGAAAGCGGGTGATTGTCAGGGTCTGGGGCCTTCTCCCTCCTCCACTCTTCTCTCTGAGTTTCTACTAGAGTCGGGGCTCCCCTGGCCTTAGGAGGGGTGCCGCCCCTCAGTCCTGGTGGCAGTCACGGCCACTGGAGGGATCTTGGCCGGGAGACTGTGGGGGCAGCCTGTGTTCCCTGCCTTCTCTCCCTCCCCTTTTTGGTTCCGGTGCTGGGTCACGCTGCCCTCTTCGAGCTCCAGGCGGCAGGAAGCATTTAGCTTCCCCACTCCTTCCTCCATACTGGGGGTCAGTGTGTGTCCTCTTATTCAAGAGGCGCTGGGGCATCTGGGTTCCCCCGACTCAAGCTGGGCGGGTTCCACAAAGCCCAACCTGCTCCAGCCCCAGGCCCGTTTCCCCTTTCCTCAAAGGGTGCTCATCACAGGGGAACCTGCCAGCCCGCACTCCTCCCCTCTCCCTCCCAGCAAGGTCCTGCTGTCCTCTTGCTGACCATCTGTTTCCGGTCCCCGTGCTGCAGCCACCTGGGCCAAATGTGTGGCCTTGTCGTTTGCCAACTGCTCAGACAGTCTTCAGGGAAATGGTTGGTCTGGGGTGCAGCGGCCAGGCGCCCCCGGCCCCAGTGCCCCTGGAGCAAGGCAGCAGGCAGGCAGGGACCCCTTGTGGACTGTTGAGGGCACCTTCTCCCCTTCTGCTGGAAAGGTCATTATCTGTCCCAGCAGGGGCTCCTGGTATGGTTTCCTATTTATTGGAATAAAATAGACCAATTTCTGGGGAAAGTCAGACTGTGCAAGATACCAGCACATATACAGTGCACCTACATCTATTTCTTGTCCAAGAGCCCATGTTGTCAAGCTCTGGTCACCACTGATCCCTGTGCCCCACACATACACGATCTCGTGTTCGCTCCCCTGATCACAGCAGCCCTGTTGGCAGTGTTACCATCCCAGCTTCTGACTGGTCATTGAGGACACAGGGCACAGGGAGGGGCCAGGTGACAGTGGGGGTGCCGGAGGGGGGACAAGAGGCAGGGGATGGTGGACGATGGACAGGAAGGCCACGTGGACGATGAACAGGAAGGCCAGCAGGACTCCTTGCCATGTTCTCTGTCTTCCAGCCTGTGCATTGGCTTATTATTTATATTTTGGTACCTGGAATTGAACTCAGGACTTTGCACTTGCCGGGCAGGCACCATGCCGCTGAGCAACACCCTTGCCTGGTGCGTCTTGGTTAAGTGTTACCCTATACCACAAAGCTGGGTGACCCCAGAAAGAAGAGTTTATAGGGCTCATGGTGCTGGCGGTTCGGGGACTCGGCACCCGCATCAGTCCAGCTCTGGGGAAGGCCTCCAGGTCCAACAGCATCAGGAGGAGCAGGCACCTGGGCCAGGTGGAGACAGACCATTGCCAGACCAGAAGTAGGACCCTGGCTGCCCTGAGGACCAAGTTCCTACTGCAGGAAGCTGCATGACACAGTCCACTCTTATGAAAGCTGTGGTACCCCAGGAAGTCCCCATCTGCTGTCTTAGCTACTTTCTCTTAACTGGGACAAAACACCAGGCACCCGAAGCCTAACGGAGGAGACATTTATGTGTCTCATGGCTTCAATCTCACCTCAGCCATGGTCAGCGGCCGGGGGGGGGGGTGTCATTGCCCATGACACAGCGGTCAAGGTAGAGAGGGCGGGAGAGGCCAGTTTCTCGATGAGTCCAGTGCCCCCTGGATCCAAAAAAGCCTCCGAAAGCCTCACATCTGAGCACTGGGGAATCCTGCGGTACACCCCAGACTCAAAGTGCGCCCCTATGCTACATAACAAAATAAATGGAAATCCCTGCTTTGTACCCCCAGGGATGCGCCTGCGCACATGGCACTATGGGAGGGACAACCGTCCGGGGAAGACAGCACTGGTTAGGCTGGACCTCATTGTCCTCCCTGGGCCTTGGCATCACCTGCTGTGGGTGCCAGGGCTTGCACATGGGCATGATGCTATAAAATCATATCCTGCTTTTGACCCATTTGGTCAACCAACCTCTTTGGGACACCCTTGGGACATAGCTTGTGGTTCAGACTTTCGGGGTGTAGACGCCTCAAGGACATTGCTGCAACATAGGGAATCCGAGTTTGTCCAAATCCACCACCCCAGGCCGCGCTGATGTGAGGCTGGGTTCGGAAACGGTGGCTCAGACCATCTTTCCAGGGTTCTCCCCAGCTCTGGAAACCTGTATCCTGGGAGGAATGGGGCGTCCTGCCAGACATACCTGCTGTCACCCCTCGAATAGCCTATCTTCGTCCTTCCTGCTGCTGTAGGGACCTCCTGCCTTCGGCGCATCTGGTAAGGACAGGGAACTGGGCAGGGCAGGCTGTATCCAGCCCCTCCTGCCTCTGACTGGCCCCTCCAGTTCATGCGAGGGGCCCATGTTCTCCGAGGTCACCTAAGGTGCTTCCCAAGCCACCCTCCTTCTCCCTCCCCCTCCTTCCTTCCGTCCTGCACTCTGATCTTCCTCTTTCCCATCTTCCCTTCCTTCTTCTTGCCCTTCTCTTTCCCTTCTTCTGTGGCTTCTTTCCTGCCTTCCTGCTCTCTCCTTCCCTTCCTCCTTCCTGTTTTCCTCCTTCCTGCATTATTTCTCCCTTCTTCCATCCATCGTGGCCCGGGGCCTGGCCTGGGGGAGTCTGTTTGGTTCCCAGCGCTTCCCGAGGTGAGGGGCAAGCATCTCGCCAGGAGAGAAGGTGTCTCGGTGGCCTCTGGCACATTTACGATGAGTCTCCCGTTTCTCCAGCAGGTATTACTCACCATGACGCACGCGGCCAGCTAAGCCCAAACAACCGTGCGTGCTGCACACTCGGCATACCACCAGGCACAAACACCGGGCACAAGCACGGGGTGCTCACGTGGGCCTGCGGGGTGCACTCTGCCCAGACCTGCAGCCTCTGCCCGGGCAGGAGGAGCGGGCGCCCAGCTCCCACCCTGCTGCTTTGCAGACGCCAGCCTTCTTGGAAAGGGGTGCAAAAGGGGTGCACGCTACACCCGAGGGCTGGGGTTTCCGCTCCCCCAGCACGGATGAGGAAGGGAGTCGCTCCCTTGGAGCCCAGGCTTGGCGGCTTCCCCTTCCCCCTCCTCTCTTTCAGCTGGGCTAATGACCGGTGTCCTCTCAGGTGTATTTTTACCCTCGGGACAAATAGCAGCTGGGCCGAGTGGGGCTTTTTTATGAGTTGAGGTACCGAGTGCTGGAAAATAAACAGCGGGGTAATGAGATGTTCGGGTGGGACCGGCGTAAATAATAACAAAGCAGACATGAGTGTCTTGTGCCTGCGCCCTGGGGAGGGGATATAAAAGCTGCTGTCCAGCGGCCACCGCCAGACCTGTGGGACCGACCGTCGGACCTGGACGCTGACCGGCTGGACCATGGGGTGCTGCCCGGGCGACTGCTTCACCTGCTGCCAGGAGCAGGACTGCTGTGAGGAGTGCTGCTGCCAGCCCGCCTGCTGCGGGTCCTGCTGCGGCTGCTGTGGCTCCTGCTGCAGCGCCTGCTGCGGCTGCGGGGGTGGTGGCTGCGGGGGCGGTGGCTGCGGAGGAGGCGGCTGCTGCGGGTCTTCGTGCTGCGGCTCCGGCTGTGGGGGCTGCGGGGGCTGCGGCTCCGGTTGCTGCGGCTCCAGCTGTTGCGGCTCGTCGGGCTGCTGCGGCCCCGTGTGCTGCCAGCCCACACCTGTGTGCGACACCAAGTGAAGACCCCACACCGCGCCCCTAAAGCCTTGGCCTGGCAGCCTGGCTGGGCCCCAGCAGGGGATTCCCTCCTGCCCGCAGATCCTCCTGCACTCCCAAGACAAGTCCCGCCTGTGCCGTGCTGAGCTGCGAGGGATCCTTCTTCAACGCCTGCCCGAGGGCAGAGTCTGCCTGGCGAGAAGCTTGAAAGCTGGGTCCCAAAGTTTGGTGACCCCCGAGTCCCAAGGGGGAGTTACCATGACTGAACTTGCCTGGTCACCATTAGGGGTCTTCTTATCCAAGGCGCCTTGGGGACTGACCCTCTTCCCTAGCTTTCTGATACTTTTGCACAAAAAGCCTCCCAAAACCTCAGGGAAGTTAAACACCTCTGTTACCCCCTGAATAAATTCGAGCGTGCTGGTGTAACCCAATCAGTCCTCCTGCCTCTTCCTTCACCTCCTGCTGGCCACCGCTTAGGAAAGGCTAGCAGGGTTTCGCAGCATGGTTTTGGATCACCTGCAGCCAAGTCACCCGGGGACTGCAGCTGGCAATCCCTTGTGCCCTTCTGAGGCCTCCGGATGCAGAATCCACAGAAGAGCACCGGGGCTCACAGCTGCAGAGAAAAGTTTCCTCGTGCTGCTAGACATTCACAGGGAGGCTTTTTAGGAGTACAGGTCCTGGGCTTCCCCGCTAGGCCCCAACTGTCAGCTTTAGGGGCTAAGGTAGCTTGGGACCTGCAGTTTTCAAAGCTCCGAGGCAGGCACTGGCTCAGGCCGCATTGAGACTGACGGAGGGGCGTGGCCTCCCACATGGCTCTCCTGGAGAGCATCAGGGCTTGGTGGGGACTTGCTGGGAAGGCAGGGAGCAGGCCTGCTCAGACCAGCTTGGTGCCGAAGGTGGCGAGGTGGCAAGGCCTCCAGGAGGCATAGGCTGGTAGCTTCTGTGCGTTGGGTCAGCCACTGTCCGGAGAGGGTGAGCGCCCATCTGGTGGGTGGGGCCCTGACCCAGATGTGGGAGCCCGGCTGGGAACTTAAAGTTAAGGGCGAGTCACTCAACGCCTGTTGAAAGTGATCCAGCTTCTTAGGAACAAAACTACTTTTCCTTTGGCCTGGAAGAACAACGTTCTTCCTTATGCCTGCGGAGGTTGTTTCATTTGACAGAGAGATAAGCAAGAGGTTTTGGTTTTTTTCTGATTATAAGCATAGCTATGATTCTAAAAATACGAAGGATACAAAGGAGAAACACTAAACTCCCAAATGCTCAGCTAGAGAGTCCACAGAAAATACACACGCTATAGGCTTGTGTGACTTTTTTCCAACAGTGGACCCTGGAGGATGTCACAAATCGCAGAGGACCCACTGCACTACTGGTCCTTAGAGAAGACTCTGAAGATACATGGGCAGCAACCTGGGTGACCAAGGTGACCCAAGCATCAGTAGCCGCTCTAGTGAAGGTCTGGCAGCCCAGGGCCTCCACCTCCAGTTCTCTTGTCACTGTGGAGGCCAAAGGGAGCTTGTGCTACTCTCATGGTATCTCGATAAACCTAATGTTCACATATTTATTTTTCTTTCACTTTTTTAGAAAATAGTAGTTTTTTTTTCTCCTGAGATGTGTGTACATTTTTTTTTGCTGGACTCTATATATGCTCATATATGTTTTTCCAAGTGTATTTATAAATAAGGCTGAGATCATGCTACTTCTGAAAACATTGTGTGCCATTTTTATAAGCCAACTTTATTGAGATAGACTTTAAGTCTGATGAAATGCTTCCTTTTCTCATGTTCAGCTGGGTGAGGTTTAACAGTTTGCCACACGGTGCCTGTGTATGGACGTCGTACTCAGCACACAAGCTTCCCTCACTCCCAAGACTCTGTCCCCCTCTTCCGGTCAACCCAAGCCCCTGGTAGTGATCCACTCCCACTTTATGTCACCAGGCACTTTGCTGTTTCTAGACTTTCTTATAAAAGAAGTTGCACAGTGCAAATTGCCTTTTCCATTTGCGCGACAGTTTTGATGCCCATTCGCATCGCTGAAGGTATAAACGGTTCGTCTCGTCTCATTAGAGTACATAAACCACATTAAAACCCACTCATCCTACTGTTCTGAGGTTTTGGCTTTTAGGAATAAAGCGGGTTGAACATTCACATGTGCAGGTTTTAGTGTGAACATATGTTTTCATTTGTTTTGGGTGAACACTTAGATTTGGATTTCTAGGGAAGTGACGAATGAATGCTTAACTTTGTAGAAAACTACAAATCCTTTGTAAAACACAGCTGCCCGCATCCAGCCAGCAAGGGCTGAGTGTTTCAGTTGTTCCAGGTCCTTGTCAACCCTTGATACTGTCTGTCTGTGCTTTTAGCCATTCTAGATGTCTATGCATGGCTTGCTGGGCTTTCATATTTTGGTTTCATGAAAACACCTGCTAGTCTTGTGCCTATCATGGTCTTCCTTTTGGAGAGACTCTGAGATTTGATTACCCCGATACAGGCTGAGACACTGCCATTTAAGTCATTTTTGCTGTGGCTGGAATGAGTCTCCTAGAAACTGAGTTTGGAGTCCTCAGGATAAAGCCACACTGACAGCAAGAGTGTGGCGCAGGGTAAATCCACCAAGAGGCCAAAGGTGTGTGCCCAGCGGCGTGGCCACCTCTCCCGGACATTTGGGTAGGTGTGAGTTCTCTGAATCACCACAAGGTTCCCACTTGTTCATTCAACAAACATTCACTGTGTACCTCCTGCATGCCAAGCCTTGATCTAGGCACTGGGGATTCATCAATGAACAGACAAAGTCCTCATCCTTTGGAGAGATGGTGCCCTGGCTCCACGGAGGATGCTGTGCTGGTCTCTCACTTGCAAGCCTGTGAGAGATGCTGTAACCAAGTTTGTAAGGGAGAGGATTTAATGCAGGCATAGAATTTATAGGATTATTTTATAACTTGCACCCAGAGACTCAAATGCAGAAGAGTCTAGGAGATCTGTCCATGTATTAGAGACCCAGAGAATCCAGCTGAGGGCCTGGATCCTACGACAGTGTCCTACACAAGTCCAGCTGGAGGCCTGGAGCCCATAGCAATGTCTCATGAGAGTCTGTAACAAAGATCCGCACTGGGAAAGCCCAAAGGTCAGTGGTGGAAGCTAGAAAGTCTGCACCAACGGGATGCAGGATCTGTGCCAGCAGCTGAGGGATCTGCACGGGAGCCAGGAAGTGACGCTCAAAAGGACCAGGGCCCCCGAAAAGACAAACACAGCCACCCTCAGCGACAGCGATGATCTGAGCGCCTCCGAGAGTGAGAACAGCTGAGTTTGTATCAGGAAGCCAGTGTGATGAGCGTCCCGAATCCCCAGTGCACCGTCTTCCCCTCCAGTGTTGCTTCTCATGCTGTTGGCAGTGATCCTCAGGTGGGCAGGCCACGCTGATTCAGTTCAGCTGGGTGTTATAAATTGACTGTTAGTTTATCCACCACAGAAGATCACTGTGTGTGTTGGAAAGGGCCATCTCCACCCAGAATTCCATCATGGACTTAGTTAAGGAGGAGAGGAGCTAGGAATCTCCAGCTGAACTCTCCAGACTCCTCTTCCCCACTTCCTGAGGGATCCGTCTCAAAGTGCGCTCTTCCTCCTCTAAGCCTGAGCTTGTATCCGGAAGACTTGTAGATGCAGCCTCCTTCAGCTCCCCTCTTGCTCCAGCCCCCCAGGAACCCCACAGTTCAGGCCGTCACCAAGAGGCTGCTGGGTAATTGCTCCAGGTTCCCTGCTCTCTGACTTCCTCTGTGCTCCATGGCCGGAGAGACCTTTCCAAAGGGCGAAACCGATCAAGTTACTTCCCTGCTCAACCCCTCGGGTGCCACAACAGAGTCCAGCTTGTTACAGTCCTCGAGGCCTTTGATGATAGGGCCCATGGCCCTTCCGGTCCTGACCCTGTGTCTTCCGGTCCAGGGAAACTATGCCAAACCATTCATTTCCTGCTTCCTTCCTACAAGTGGTGATCAAAAGATGTGACGAATGTTTAAATTAAAAAGAAAACACAACATAACAAGTAGGACAACATATCACCACGGATGATGGCCTGAGTGTGTTCAGATGGCTCCTTCCAATGTCAAAACGTCCACAAAGGGCACGCCTTTTGAGGGATTTGAATTAATTCAGGACACTGAGGCAGCCACAATAGTGCAAGTAAAGACACCTAAGAAAGGATTTCCAGAACTGCCTCGGAGAGTGACAAGCACAGTGGGATCAGCACTCTTGAAGTCATGGGGTACATCCTGAAGGAAATTCATGGCCATTTAACTTTCATTGTAGTAAATTTTCAAAGATTTTAAATGTTCACCTTGCCCTTTTCCTATCTCTACCACTCTTTTACCCAGCTCAGCTCCTCAGAGGACCGAGCTTGGCCATCATACGGTTTGAGGAGGTTTCCCAGCTCCTCCACAGCCGTGGTCATGTTTCTCCCGGTGCCCCCCAAACATCAGTGCACCCCTCGTTGTGCCACTGGGCAGACAGGAGCATAAGCACTCGCAGGTGTGAGTCCTCCAATGCTCGTACACCGTGTGGCTGAATCCGCAGCACATCTGTTGTGTCCTGTGCATGGAACCCAGGGTTTGCTGGGTGGAACAGATGAACAAAGTAGTGGTGTGGACGCCTGCACGCATTAGCAAAGCTCCTGCTTTCCTCTCCTCTCTGGATCATCTGAAGCGTCTTCCACTTAGGAAGTGTCCGAAGCTCCAAGAATAAGGAGGATCCTGGTAACCTGCTGAAGTTTGGGAGGGGAGGAGAAGGGGCAGCGAGGCCGAGGCAAAGGTTTTCCAGGGCCAGGCTGGGCAGCTGTCCCGGGAGCAGGACAGAAGGCAGTGTCATGGTTAAGGTGTGAGGTGTGCCTTTGATGAAGTCACGTATGAAACGTCAAACCATGCAGTTCGCTGTGGAGAGAGGGTACCACCACTCACAGAGGCCGAGTACAAGGTCCTCAGCAAGCAACAGCCTTCCTGACTCTGTCCCACTTCACCATGTGTCCTGGGGCACAGTGACCTCTGTCTGGTGGCACTGCTGACGTTTAAAGTGTATTTATCACCATCAGATGCCGTCATTTAAAATCCAGCTGAGATGTCCCCTCCTGGACTCGTCTGTGACCACCTCACTCTGCTAACCTGTATATCTCTGAGGATCAAATCCCAGGTACAGGATTTGCCTGTGTTCTCGAGTGCTCGCCCGAGTGAGATCCCTGGGGGCGGAGGCCGTATTCCGTGCCCAGCCAGGGTGCAGTGTAGATAAATTATAAGTTGTTTTCTTTTTCCTTGTATGTGATGCTAGGAAATGTAGACCAGCCAGCCTGCAGGTGATGATGCTTGTTCTAAGACTACCTGGAGCTCTGAGGGTTCCAAATTTAGCTGGTCAATAAACAGACTTCTCCTTTATGAGCAGGTAAACAACTCCAAGATCAACAGACCTGGGCGTAATAAGATGTTCCTCTGCACAATGGCACACAAGCAATGAGGAAAGAAGCAAGGGTCCCCAAGCAGCGTGGCAAAGGGAGACAGTATAAAAGCAAGGGCCCTGGAGAGCACTGGCACAGTCCGGCAGCCACCTCTCCACGCTCCCAAGGACACAGAGCCTCTCCACCATGCCTGGCAGCTGCTGCTCTAGGAGGTGCCCTTCCTTGCCGGCCGTCTCTCTCTGCTCCACTGAGGTGAGCTGTGGGGCACCCGTATGCTTGCCTAGTTCATGCCGGAGCCAGACGTGGCAGCTGGTGACTTGTGAAGACAGCTGTGGGTCTGGTAGCTGTGGGTCCCAGAGCTGCCAGCCATCCTGCTCTGTGAGCAGCTGCTGCCAACCCGTGTGCTTTGAAGCTACCATCTGTGAGCCGTCCTGTGCTGTCAGCAGCTGTGCCCAGCCCGTGTGCCTGGAAGCCACCCTCTGCCAGCCCACCTGCTCCACCAGCAGCTGTGCCCAGCCCGTGTGCTTCGAGGCTACCCTCTGTGAGCCATCCTGCACTGTGAGCAGCTGTGCCCAGCCTGTGTGCTGCAATGCCGCTGTATGTGAGCCGACCTGCTCTGTTGGCAGCTGTGCCCAGCCTGTGTGCCTTGAGGCCACCCTCTGTGAGCCGTCCTGCACTGTGAGCAGCTGTTCCCAGCCTGTGTGCTGTGACACCACCCCCTGCCAGCCAGCAGTCCTCTGTGTGCCTGCTTCCTGCCAGCCGGTCCTCTGCAAACCTAGCTGTTGCCAGCCGGTCATCTGTGAGCCCAGCTGCTGCCCAGCGGTCTGCACAGTGCCTACTTCCTGCCAACCCATGGTCTGTGAGCCTGTTTGCTGCCAGCCGGTGTGCCCCACGCCCAGCTGCTGTCCCTCTGTCTGCTCTGGGACCAGCAGCTGCCAGCCTGCCTGTGGTGACTCTAGCCCCTGCGAGCCGTCTTGCTCAGGTCCCAGTGTCTGCCAACCTGCCGGCTGTGTGGCCCTGGTCTGTGAGCCTGTCTGCGTCCACCCCGTCTGCTGTGTCCCAAGCTCTTGTGAGGCCCCGTGTGCCTCCGATTGTGAGGAGTCCTCCGGTGGGGTCTCCGGCACCTGCCAGCCCGTCTGCTCGGAGCCTAGCCCCTGCCTCCCCTGTGTCTGTGTGCCCACCCCATGCCAGCCCTCCTACGTACTCAAGCGCTGTCACTCTGTCTGCTGTGAGCCTGTTTCTGGTCCGTCCACCTCCAGCCAGCCCCCGTGCCACCGTCCGGGCTCATCCGCATCTGCCATCTGCCAGCCGACCTGCCGTCGCCGGACTTTCTACATACCCAGTTCCTGCAACACCCCGTGCAGTACCTCTATCTATCGCCCCATCTACCGCCCTATCTGCCCGGCGCCCATAACCTACAGGCCTCCGTACTTGACCTCCATCTCCTACCGGCCACCCTGCTACCGGCCACCCTGCTACCGGCCACCCTGCTATCGACCCTGCTACTCCATCCTACGCCGCCCGGCCTGCTTCACCTCCTACTCTTACCGTCCCATCTACTCCCGCCAGCCATGTGCCGAGTCCGACTCTGACAAGCGTGACGGCAAGAAGTCCACCTCCAGCCAGCCCGACTGCCCTGATGCCACCCCTAGCAAGCCTGAGGTCTCTGAGGTGACTCCGGGCCAGCCCTCGGAGGCCAAGCCAGCCAGCCCGCTTCCCCGTGAGACAGCGGCAGCCCAGCCCACTACTGGCAAGCTTGCCGATCGCTGACCAAACCTGAGCCCCACAGCCCCTGCAGAACCAGCCACAAGCTGAAAGGAACATGGGGCTGTCCTTTGCAAAGCTCACTGGGACTTAGCTAGACCCTTCCCTTCCTGCTTGGCCACTTGCTGCCTGCTTCTGCTTTGAAGAACTCACCAGGAATGTCCATATCTGTGGCCTGAAGGGGGGCCCTGGGCGTGGAGAGGTGGCCATTCTGAGTTCTGCCACTAAGCTGAGAAGAGCTGCTTTGTCGCAACATTGGTGCCTTGCCTGGCACAGAGTGTTTTCTTTTTTCCTGCGTGGGCTCACTTGCAGTGTGGGTCCAGGTCCCTCTGGTGCTCCTCCAGTGAAATGCACTTCCTGGTCCAATAAAATGGCTAAGTTAAGCAACATGCTCTTCATCCTCTGTTAATGCCACAATCTCATTGCTTCATTGTGGAGAGCAGTTCCATCCATCCGTGATCCATCCATCCCAGCATCCATCCATGATCCATCCATGCATGCATCCGTCCAAGCATGATCCATCCATGCATGCATCCATCCATCCATTCGTCCATCTATCTGTCCATCTATCCATCCATTCATCATATTAATCCATGTATCCACCTATCCATATCATCCATCCATATCAATCTCTCCATCCATCCATGCTTCTATCACCCATATCCATCCATTCATCCCAATGATCTATCCATCTATATCTGTCTATTCATCTCTATCTGCAATATCCTTAACTGACTTAGGATGCAGCGTCAGGGTAGTTAAGGCTCTTCTGGACATTTGCCCATCCTGTATCTGGCTGGGCTGACTGTCCCTTCCCTGTGCCCCATTCACCTTTTGCCTATGAGCCACTTACCCTCTCTCTAGTCTTTCATCCATATCCACCCATTCATCCACACTCATTCATCCATCTGTCCATCCAGCCACCCACTCACTTACACATCTAGCCATATCTATCTAATCACACACCCACACACCATCCACTCAGCCATCTATCCATCATCCATATCCATTCCATATCCATCTATCCATCAGTCATCTATCCATTCATCCATCCACCCATATACTCAGTCATTTATCCATATCCATATCTATATCTATACATCTATCATCCATACCCACCCACCTGTCATCCACACCTATCCATCCATCCATCCATCCATCCATAACCATCCATGTATCCACATTCATTCATCCATCCATCCACATACCCACTCAACCATCTATCCAGATCCATATCTATATCTATCCATCCATCATCCATATCCACCCATCTATCATCCACATCTATCCCTCCATCCATCCATATCCATCTATTCATCTCCCTCCATCCATTCATCTATCCATTTATATGTCTGCCATGTCAACCCATCCATATTCATCCATCTATCCATCCATTAGTATTCATCTATTCATTTCCAATCATATCCTCACCTACCCACCATTTATCCATTTCCATCTGCCCATTCGTTCACTCATCCATCCATTCATATGTCTGTCTATATACATCCATCCATCCCTACCTAGCCATCAGTACTCACCCATCCATCCATGCATCTGTGATCTATGCACACCCATCCACTCACCCATCCAGGCATATCCATCCATCCATCCATCCACTTGTACACTTCCTTCCATTTGACTATCATCACATCTATCCAGTCATTATCCACAGGCATCTGTCCATCCACTCACACCCTACCCACCCATCTGTCCATATCCATCCTGCCATCCATCCATGGTCCACTCATCTAATATTATTACATGGTTGTTAAATGGGTGCCAGGCATTGGGGACCATGAATTATAAATTGACATCCTATCTGTCCTGGGCTCTTCTTGTCCTGCCTGCATTGTGGGCTGGTTTTGAAATGTGGAAATCACCTTCCTTTTGGTCATGAAGATTAGCTCCTAGGTGTGGGGGTGGATCTTGGCTCGTTTCCTTTATGATATTCAACTTTCCCACTCTACCACTGCCTCTCTGCTGTTCCAGGAGGACTCTCCCTGCCCTGCACCTACACTGGCTAATAAAATAGGGGCTAACTGGAGATTCTGGACCTTCTGTTCCTAGAGAGCAGCAATGGCCCCAGATCCCTGATGTGCGCCCCTCCACTTTGTCTCTTGCTCTTTTTTCCTTTTCTGCTATGTGTCGTAACCCAGACAGGACACTGGAACCCACTGCAGGGGTCTCCAATAACTGGCACCGTGATAAGGGTCTCTAATACCCAGGGACTTGGTTGGATTCTAGGAATAAAAAGACAGAAGTCTCAGTCCTCAATCTTGAGAGCTCGCTAGCAGGGTGACATTCAGGCCACAAGACACCTACATGTCTCTGTTCTAAGCTCAGGGTCTGTGAATGCAGGGAAGTGCCGGAGGACCCGGTAGCAATTCTTAGGGAACCCAAGGCTGGCGCTGAACCTTTCAGCACAAGTCGGGATCACTTAGTGATGGGCGGGAAGGGAGAGCTCCCTCGGCCTGACAACCGTGCCAGTGAGTGGGATGCTCCACATGCTCAGCAAGTGGACTTGGGCAGAGGTGACCTTAGAGGCCAGGGAGCTTGAGGTCAGTGGGTAGGTGACGCTCTGCCTGGGCGGGTCCTTGGGTGCTAGATGGAGGTGCTCAGGCTTGGTGAAGGGCTGACGTGAAGGCGTAGAGGGGCTGAGTACAGTGCAGAGACATGAAGGGCACTGGGCTTGGGGAAGCCCCTGGCCTTGGTGGGGGAAGGAAGGAAACAGAAGGAAATGGTCCTGGAAGAAGCCGGTGTCTAAGTTGGAACGAAACAGGAAATGGAGGTTGTACTTCCCATAACCTGAATTTCCTGAGGGACACTTTTCCTTATCTTCTCCTGGTCCCTGCAGACACTGATAGACTCCATAGGTGTCCTCTTACGATCTCCAGGGAAGGGTTTTTTTGTCCCCAAGACACAGCTTGAGCCCCACAAGCACAGGCAGAGACAAAAGAGGAGCGTCTCCATTTTGGAACTGCTGACATTTTGGGCCGGGTAATTCTTTACTGTGGGTTCCTTCCTGATGTCACCAGATAAACACTGCTGAGTGTTTCCCAGGGCTGCAAATCCGCTCCCTAGAGAATCATTGGTTTAGATGATGGCAGAGGAGGAAGCCAGAAGTGAAATTCATTCGGTACATTGGGGTTGGAATTACTATGTCCTCAGGCCCTGGGATTTATCTCTTTATCTTTCTGGGACCAAAAGAGTAGTTAGCTAGGATATTAAATCTATACAAAACACTGACTTCCTGTTTCATATGTTACAGCAATTCCGGAAAGTGGGATTTTTTCCCCTTGTTTTTTCCCCTAGCTGTATAATGTAACAGCTGAAGGACACACAAGGACCCTGCAGCACACAGGTAAATTGTGGTATATCTGCACAGTGGCATATTATACCCAGCTAGAGTGACTGGGCGGGACTGCATGCTTCAGCCCGGCTGAGCCTTCCTGACATAATAATGCTGGCTCATAAAAATAAGCCCTGGAAGACCATGTACACATACACAGAGAGCACATAACAGAGAGGCACAAAATTGAGATAATCACTAGTAAGTAACATACACATGGTTAGAGTTCCACGCTTGTGTTCGGGGATCAAACTCACGACCTCGAACTTGCCAGGCAGGCGCTTGCACCGCTGAGCTCAGTCCCTGCCCCTAGCTATTGTTTTTTATGGCTCACTGTATTTCTCAGGTTTTTAGCAACCTCAAGCTATACAAAATAAAGATTCTTCTCTCTGCTGGAGGTTTCTTCAAGAAGACAGAATATGAGAGCAAAAGCACTTAGAAAAAATGGGGGAAAGCACAGCATTTCCTCTTGGGAGATAAATAGCTTTGGGGGCCAAGGATTCAGGGATAAAACGCAGTGCAGGGGTCTCTACAGCTTGAAAGATGCCAAAGTGAGCACGGGTGAGAAGATGAACACAAGACGTGTATGTGTGTGTCCTGGAAGTGATGGCATGAGAAAAGCAGTAACGGCAGGGCGGAGGTTTTCCAGTCCCTGTTCTGATCAGAAAAGCTCCTCATCCTTTTAAGAAGGTGAAGGGAGGTTCAAAGAGAAGGCATTGTGTAGCTGGCACTTTGCAAAGTGCCCCCCAGAACTGCTGGGATTTTCAGTAATTTGCGATCCAGTCAGAGAAGAATGAGAAGAGCCCCAGAGAAACAGCACTGCAGGCGGGGAAAGCTCAGTGCCTTGAGGACGTGGCAGTCACCTAACTGTCCGACAGTGAGTTAGGGGCAAAACCAGAAATCAGGGCTGGCCTTGCTGGACTCGGCATGGCCTTCCCACGCCAGCACACAATCCCAGCAGGAGCCCGGCCAGGATGTGGACCAGTGTGGGCGGATGCGGGCAGACTCGTGGGCGGATGGATAGCTACAGGTGGGTGGATGGGAAGGCCTTGGTGGCCACGCAGAGCCTGGACAAGCTCTGAGAAGGAGAGCGACAGGGGTCAGAGGAGCCCCCCCCCCCCCACTTTCCTCTTGGAAGGAACTGATTTAACTGCACCTGCAGACATGTCTTGATAGTACTTCTGGTGGCTGTAGTTTTACAGTTTTAGAAATTATGTTCGCCCCACATTACAAACTTCCTCTACCTCGCGGCCTCCTTCTCTTCTTCCCCCTTCTCCTTTTTCCCCTCCCCTCCTTCTGTTCTCCTCCTCCCTTCTCCTCCAGCCTCCTCCTCTCCCTTTCTTTATCCTTTTCTTCTCATTTTTCTTCCTTCCTCCTCCTCTGTTCCTCTCATTCTCCTCCATCTTTTCCCTCTTCTTCCTCTTCCTCTTCCTCACCTTCCTTCTTTTTCTCCTCTTCTCATCCTCCTCTTTGCTCGGATTATGGGGGTTGGGGAATGAACCCAGGGCCTTTGCACTGAGCTACATTCCCAGCCCATTTAAAATATATTTTATTAGGGACTGGGGATTTAGCTCAGCGGAGTACAATTCGCATCGCTGTGCTGGAAGTGACAAAACTAACTCAAGAAGACTCGGTCCCTAAGCTATGCCTGGAATAAACAGTGCGCAAACCCAGCCAGCTCATCCCATCCTGAAGTCTCTGACATCAACCGCTCATTAGGCCTCCTGGAACTGAGGAGGAGTGGGAAGGACTCCCACGGAGACTGGGGCCAGTGTGTACTACAGCCTACGGCACCGGCTTCCGGGCCAGCTGTCCAGGGCCTGGGCTGGGGAGCATCCACCCCGCGCTGCGACTGTAATTATCAGCAAGCACAAACTCAGTGAGTGCTCGCCTCTACTTAGCAATGCACCTGAAGATGACTTTTAAGCGGGGAAGTTTTAAAACTGATCATATTGAATGGAGAAGAATTAGAAGTCAAGCGTGGTCCCCTCTGTCTATATTCCCAGCACTCTGGGAAGCTGAGGCAGGAAGATCACAAGTTGGAACCCAACCTGGGCAATTTTGCAACTTTTTGAGACCTTACTTCAAAATAAAATGTTTTGTTTGTTGGTTTTTTTTTTTTTTTTTTTTTTTTCCTTTTTCCTTTTTGTCGGTACCAGGGATTGAACTCACGACTGCCTGCTTGCAAGGCAGGCACTCAGTGAGTTCATTCCAGGCTGGTATTGGCAGTAACCCTGCAGCAAATGGACGCCCCTGCAGTTGTTACTGGTTGTTACATAAAACTTCAGTTCCAGAAAGAGGCGGAGGCGCTGCAGTGTTCGTGGGCTTCACAGCCTACTTCCCGGCTCCCTGTGATTGATCCCGGGCTTTACTTCCTGATTGTGAGGAAGGGCGCAGGACACGGTGGCTTGGGGGAGGCCTCCTGATGAGGGGGTAGTGCTTGCTTCAGTTGGGCTGGGGCACAACCTGTAAAAGAGCTCACCCCAGAGCGGCACCCCTGAGGCCAGGTTCTACAAAGGGAAATTCCAGCTTCATAGCCACCTTCCCAAGTGGAGCCTAATCAGAGGCGGGGGTGCAAATAGGCAGAAACAATAACAGGGAAAGATGCTCCCTGGGGCCCCGCCAGGGACTATAAAGGCCTCTCTAAGGACGATCTTTCTTTCGATCTTTGGAACCTGGACACACAGAGGCTGTGATCCTCAGCAAGCGTAGCGCACGCTCCATGGTAAACAGCTGTTGTCCTGGAAATGACACAGCCCCTCCGGCTGTGCCTGCTGTTACCGTATGCCCAAGCGTCCGAAATGCGATCTGCCTGCCCAGTTCCTGCCAGAGCAGAACGTGGCAACTGGTCACGTGCCAAGGGAACCACCAGCCATCCCGCCGCCAACCTCCCCACCTCCCCGACATGTCCTGCGTGGGTTTTGTTTGCCAGCCCATAGACTCCAGCGCAGCCCGCTGTCTGTCAGGCGCTGGTCACTCTCCTGGGCTGGGTGCCTCCCCTCCGCCGTCCTGCTCAGACTCTGCCGGTGGTGAGTCCAAGCTAGAGTCCAAGTGCTGCGATGCCAGCTCCTGTCTGCAGAGCTCCTGCCAGGAACCTGCGTGCCCACCTGGGCCAGGCCAGGCAGTGGGTGGCCAGTCTGTCTGCCACGAAGCTAAGTCCTGCCCAGACATAACTTCCGGTGTTGACGTGCCTTGCCCACCAGTTCTCCCGGCAGCTAGCCTGTGCCAACCCAGCTGCTGCCAAGGAGGCTCACAGCATCCCACGGGAGGTGAGGACCAGCTCTGCTGTGGTGCCAGCTGTCACCCGCTCCTCTGCTACGTCTTTGAGCCAGGCCGACCTGTCCCCTGCATTCCCGTTTCCTGCCAGCCGTGGACTTTTGTATTCTGTTCCTGCAGTCCGACTTGCTGGGTGCATGCTCCCTGCCAGGCATATCATTGCCACCTGGCTTCTCCTGTGTCCTTCATCTGCCGGCCAGCAGCCACCTGCCGGTCCTCCTGTTCTGAAAACAGCCCTTGCAAGCCGGTTTCCTGTGGCCCTGTGCCCTCGGGCCAACCAACTTGTGATGGATGCACTTCTCACAGTCCTGGCCGCCAGTCCCCATCCTGGAAGCCTGCTTGCTGTGTGACAGGCTCAGGCAAAGCGTCCAGCTGTGGCTTTAGCCACCTCTGACCGACCTCCCCAAGTCTGTGCCCAGCAGCCCTTGTGTGCTGACTCTCCATCCAGCACCCTGTGAGCCCAGCTGCCACAAACTTGCGCTCTGCCGGTGAGCACCCTTGTCCTCCCGTGAAGGGGGGGGGGGGCTGCTGCCCACGATGCACAGCCACCCTGGGGCGCCCACCTCCCTCTCGGGGACTGCAACACTGCCTGTGCCCTGATGCTATTAGGATCCGATCCCCACTCTCTCCAGGTGGATGAGGAGTCCCCGCCCAGGACGAGCTGGTTGGTAAGGAAGGGAGACCGAGCCTTACAGCCCAGCCTCCCTCCCACATTTCCCGATGCTCTCAGCTCATGTCCCAGCACAGCCTTCCCTGTGGTCATGGTTTGATCCTTCAGGGGATCCCCTCGCTGCCAATTGCTCAAAAAGAGCTGAGCAGTGAAGAGTCGTGGAGAGACACCGGTGCTTCTGCTGATTTCTGTACAGCCTGTCAGCTTCCCTTAGGTCACACTGGCCCTGGGGGCTGTGGCCTCCACTCCGTGAGGCCGTCTGCACTGTGGGAATGGGTGGCAGAAGGCTGGAACTGCAGAAGCTCAAGCTGGAGTGGGGGAGGGTGAGTGGCGTCCCTGGCTCCAGCCTTTTCACTGCCCAGAGCTCTTTTGGGCTGAGTGGGTCCCAGTTTCCCCACAGTGAACCTATGCGGGAAGCCAGGGCTCAAAATAAAAGCATCATACTACAGGGACGTACACGTGTCCATGACTACAGCAGCCCAATTCATAGTGGCCAAGTGGAAACTGTTCATGTCTGTCAGCAGGTGAATGGGTTAAAGGAAGTGAGGTATTTATATGCAGTGGAATACTACTCTGCCACGAAGAAGGGTACAGTTGAATCATTTGTGGGAAACAGATGCACTTGAGACCCCTGTCACCTGAGGTAACTCAGACATACACGCATAAGAGCGCATGGTTGCTCTTAGATATGTATGATAAAAGGTAATCAGAGAAAGAAGAGAGAGGAAAGAGCATTGGAATTCGGCACGGGCAGCGTATCCAGAAGTGTGCTTTGACTTAGTACAATCATCTTACGTGCCTGACATGTTCTGTGGTCTGTGAGTCTGCTCTTCAGTTTGTGTGGTTAGCTGCATGAGGTCTCACAAGCTAAGTGAGTGAGTCTGACGCAGGGAAGATAACCGGGGAGCGGGGAAGGGGGATGATGATCAGCACTGAGCTGTGTTCTGTGCGCCCATCAGTTCCCGGCCGTGGGCGAAGTTATTGTGGGCTGCAAATGTGCACCAATGAAAGTAAAAAGAGAAAGGAACGAACTTTTCAAGCTGGATCCCGCCTACCCCGAGAGTGGGTAGCGCTGCTCACTATAAAACCAAAACTAGAGATAATGACCTCGTCTAGCAGTAGGTATGGGTCATTTAAAATACTACAAGATTCGTGCAGTACACTGAACATAATTTATAACATTAGTGACAAAGAACTACACCTGGTTAAAAGCATGACCTCAGTATGGGTCATGTGAAGTCTATGAAGTGAGCACATTTTGTAAAGATTTCTTATTTTACACGTGTATTTGCATCAAAAATGTCTTGTGGAGAATACAGGTTACTGTCTCTCTGTCTCGCTCTCTTTCTCTCTCTCTCTGTGGAGAATGCCGGGCTTGAAACCAAGTCTTACAGTGAGCCTCCTGCCTAACACTCGTGTCTTCCTGCCTCAGTCTTTCCAAGTGCTTGGGTTACAGGCAGACATCTGCCGCCTGGCTTCTTTCCCCTTAGTTTCTTAAAGAGATTATATTTTGCTGATGAAATAAGACCTGTTAGCATTTTAATTTCTTTCCTACGTGTTTGATGGCCTTTTCTCCAGAGGTGATGAATTACTGATGCTAAAAAATTTTCTTTTCAACATAGAAAAGAAATAAACATGGAAGATATTGGGCATGGAGAACAGTTTAAGGTGACTCCACTCTACATTTGAATGATAAATTTACCGAATGGCCTGTTCAAATAAAACTGGAAACACTTTGGAGTCTTTCCGTAGTTTGCTGTGTTTTGACATTGGAAGAGATGGTTTTTAAAACAATTAGCTCCAAGGGACTTCTGATCCTCTTTTGTATTCCTGGTGCTCAGTTATTAAACCTGAATACTTTTGAAAGTGGGTGCCTTGGCTTGCTTTTGGGAAAATCTTTACTGTAAACTTCCTTGTCCCTTTTGTCAGTTAAGGACCTCTGGGTGTGCGACATGGTTTAGGTCTGAAGCCACAGGGAAGGCCATGATCTGGGTCTGGGACAGGGGAGCCAGGTTTCCTTGCGTGTAGCTGCCCTGTTCCTCCAGCACCATCTAAAGAAAAGACGACCGTCTCCCCACAGGATCACCTCAGAGCTCTCGTCTAAGGTCAGCTCACCTTTGGTGGATGGTACTTTCGGAATCTAAATTGTATTGTTGATCAATTCTCCATTCTCAGCTCTGAGCTTCGGTTCTCCTGTTGGTCTCTCTGTTTATCCTGGCTCTCCCGAACAGGATGAAGGGATAATTATCCAAGTGGCGTAAGTGCCTGGAGCGGTCCTCACATACACCAGCATTTCCGTTTTGTGGCAAAACATAAAATAAGCCTTATTTGATAAAATGTTATAGATCTGATGAAAATAATTTATTGGTCATTTATATAAGACAGGAGACTCATCCAAATCTCCTTTGTCAGTGGTTAGAAAATTTATTGGCGAAGCAGTAAAAATTAAAAAAATACATTGACCGTTAACATTCAGGTCAAAGGGTATCCTGTGGGAAGGTTGGGGAAGGTTAAAGGAGGTGAGAAGCCCGTGCTCACGGTCTCTTCCTCTATGGACCGTCCTCTGCAGAGAGAGCAGGTCTTGTTGCTGAGAAAGCACCTCCACCCCCAGCTAGAGCTTTGCAAGGAGTCAAAGGCAGGAATTTGCAGTTTGGAAATGCAACCCAAAGCGAAAGTTCCAGAGCAGGGGTGAGAGAGAAAGTTCCCCTGGACCATGGCTCAGGGGAGAAGGGCTTGCATCCCACCAACACGCACTGGTCAGGTGACCTTTGGTAAGGTCAGAGTCCCATCTACGGAAGGAAGAACCAGCTTCAGTTTACCCCAGGATTTGCCTGTGTGGTGCAGAGAGCTCAGCTATTTCCCCCAGGATTGTGCTAAAAGCCCCGTACACCCTGGAACTTGTGTGAAAGAAAGAACCTTGAGATATAAATGATGATTCATGGAAAAGGAACTACTAGACAAAGAAGCTGGTGACAGGATGCTCAAACCACCACTTTTCAGAGAAACCCAAATTGAAATAGCAGTTAGACACCACTGCGTGGCCGTCAAGCAGCAGGTAACTGAATGCGCTCAGGAGCTCAGTGCAAGGAACAGCTAGCAATCATGCAGCCTTTGTGAGGCACACAGGCTGTCTCTGACTGCATTTGCCATCGTGTCGTTAAGGTGTTGATGAACAGTGTGTGCGCAGATGAGTGTGGCTGAGTGCTAATAAAACTTTATTTACAACAACATGCAGTGGGCAGGTTTTGGCTCATGGGCGGGAGATGGTCCACTCCTGTTCATGTCGGGTGCTGCTGGGATCACGAGTTTGTAGGAACCCAGCATTGATGGTGGGATTACTGGCTTGAAGGTAAAACCTGAACTCAGGTAAAGAATAGAAACGCATATTCTGTGATCCAGAATGTCTGCTCTTGAGGATGTATTCCTGCAAAATCTTGCCGCGGGTTCACAGAGGAACCCATGCAAGGGTGTTCACTGGGGCATTTCTTTGTTGGACTGGAGTTTAAAAGAAATCTGGTGTCATCTGGTTTTTAACTGATGTTCCCCTATTCTGTTTTGCTGGATAGTATCAGGTTCGAAAGTTTAGGCATCAGCTGTGAAGATAATGAGATTCATTATGACGCCCATTCTTGTTGACTTTTATCTACTTTTGAAGACCTACAATGTCTCCAATGTTTTGGCTTTGTCGGTTTTATTCTTTACTGTTTTGTTCAATTGTATTATAACTAATGATATAGGCAATTCTATTAGAGATAGCGGGAGGCATTATGGTAACCATTGTTGATCACCTTGTATTATGTTTTTACATTATCTATTATGTCCACCCTTTTGACTTGACCGATTCTGTTCTGTTATGTCACATTTGGTTTTACTCTCTTCCAAAAAAGTAATAAGAACCGTGGGAGCAATGAAACCCAAAATGTGTAATAGTCATCGTACAAAAGAGAGGAAAAGAAAGCGCTCCAAACTATATAACTGCATGTATATTTAAGTGTATAAGATAGAAAATGATATCACAGAGTTTTATTGGATCAATGAACAGAACTGTTTGCAGTATCATTGATGGAATGTCCACTTTACAAGCTTTAATTTTGTGACTTGAACAATTATTTCTAAGATGACAATATGTAATCCATTAACTAGTGATTTCCTACTGTTCTTTTTTTTTTCTGTAAATCTGTATAACTTGTACCCTTTCCCTGCTTTTTTTTTCTTTTCTCCTTAAATAAAATTAAAAAAAAAAAGAAAAAAAAAAAAAAAGAAATCTGGTGTCTACACCTGAGAAAGTGGGTAGGCGAATTTATGAGGAGTTGCTCTGAGTGTCATGTTGGAATTAGATGAAACGTATTATTCAGATGCAGAGATACATGGATGCATTTTTTGGTACCAGAAATCTAACTCAGGACCTCGCACTTGCCAGGCAGGTGCTGTGCCACTGAGCAACAGCTGTGGCCCACCTGGATGTATCTTAAAACCATGCTGCTTACTTATAAAACAGAATAAGACACATCACTCACGGCCACTCACATGACTACGTGGTCGGCTATTCCACTGACAGACACATAAGAACTCATGCAAAAAAAAAAAAAAAAAAATGCCTGGAGCTACCTCTGGGAAGAAAATGGGGCACAGGAAAAACAGCGATTAAGTTAATGGATATGCAAGTGCAGAGAGAAATTTCCTAAATACACAGGAAAGGGATCTTGTAAGGACCAAAAATGACAGTGTTCCATTTGTTTGCAACTGAGCTCCAAAACAAGAACTCAGAGAAGGCAGAGAGGGAGAGAAAAGGAAACCTTGCTATCGCAACAGACTTCTCATAGGTGAATGTCTTCCCAAGTGATGTGTGGATGGGTAACCCACCCCAAACCTCTCTCTTGCATCTTCCACACAGATCCCTGTCACTCTGGGTGAGGCTGAGGGTCTGGGAAATGGACGTATCCTGCCGACTCTGCTCCTTAGATTCTCTCTGCTTATGCATTTCATTTATTGATCCCAGCACGCTCCAAGGACTCAAGATTTCAAAGTGCATTTTGCAATAGCTCTTTTTTGGATCTGCCTGAGTCTATCTTCTCCTTCTTATCGTCCCAATCATCAATTTCGCAGCTAACTGCACATAGCTTGCCCTGGCCAGCTGCCAGCGTGGCAAACGCTAGGTCTAAATATGTCAAATGAGAGACGTGGGCTGGGTGATCTGTATCTCTCCCTGGGCTTGGCAGCAGTTCAAATAAGCGTTTACCTGCAGCTCTTAGGTCTGCTGGAACTTGCCCTAAAACATCTCCCATCTCCTGTTATAAGCAGTGCTCTATCCAGCCTGGACATGCTTCTAACTAATCCTGTTCACACTCCACCTCAGCAGAGTAGGAGGACAATTTTTAAAAATATGAGAAAGATACACAAACACCACTGAGAACTGATTTCTTTCATCTCCTTCAGATTTTAAAAGTA